CCATTCATCATCCAGTAGATTCGGTAGAAGCTGAGAACTTTCCCCATTCAAGTGTCCCTCTTAGATCTAAATATAAAATGTCTCCCACAGGCTCATGGATTAAAGACTAGGTTTCTAGTTTGGAGAGATGCTAGAGGCTTTAGGAGTAGGGCCTGGCTGCAGGAAGTGGGTGACTTCGGGCATGTCCTGGGGCCTATTATCTTGTCCTGTCTCCCTCCTATCTCTCTCTCAGTTTCCTATGGCTGTGAGATGAACAGCCTATGTGCTATGATGTACAGCCTCACTGCAGGCCCACAATCACAAAGCAAGGTGATCATGGACTAAAACCTCTGAAACTGTGAACCAAACTAAATCTTCCTCCTAAGTTGTTTATGTCATGTACTCTGTCATAAAATCATAAATCTAACACAATCCCAGGCCACCAGACTCCAAAATAAAGTTTAATGCCTTGATATATACTGGTACTTGCTGTCACTGAGGCATTAGCCTCATAGCTTCATGTTGACATGCCCTTTAGCATCTGCAGCTCAGAGTCATTAAGACCTGTGTCTAAGACCACACAGTAAGAAGGCAGTAGTCTTGAAAAAAAAGAAGGCAGTAGTCTGGGAAGTGAACAGCTACCTGCTGTTCTGGAGGGTGCAGTGCACATGCTACTAAACTCTAGTTCTCACACACAGATGGGACCCACCCGGGAAGAGCCGTTAGCTGAAACATAGGAATTGCAAACCAAATATATGGAGGAGATCCCAGCTCAATTCTGGCCAAGTCACAGACTGGCCTACAATCAGGGGTTAGAGTCTAACTAAAAAAAAAATACATCCCAGCATCTGTCAAAATAAAGTTTAATGCCTTGTAAACCTTATGTAATTCATCCTTAAAAGTGATCAATAAATAGGGAACACTCACTCTTAGCACTTCACTAAAAGCTTGTACATAATCCATCCTTAGAAGCCAGCGTGCTGTCTTTTTTAATCTATACCCAAATGCCTACCAATTTTACATAATTTTACTATATAAATGATAATAGCCAACCAAAATGACCTCCAGTCCCAGACAACCAGAATACCAATTGTTAATTAATCCTACCAGCTAGGTATTTATTATGAACCACAAGAGATATACACATATGCCTTAGCCAACCATGGCAAGATTCATCTATCAATGAAGATGTAAATACAAAGGAATGTTTCCTTTTTTTTGGTCCTTTGTGAGACAGGGGTCCCCCTGTCAATCCAGCTGGCCTGGAACTTGCTGTGCAGACCAGGCTGGCCTTGAACTCTGCCTCACCAGTGCTGGAATTAAAGGCGAGTGCCACCATGCCTGGCTGAATGTTTTCTTTTTTAATACAGACCTTGAGATTGAATTTAGGACCTGGAACACCCTATACCCCTCAACTATGTCTCCAGTCCAGGTAGGATGTTTCTGCTCTTCATTAAATAGAATATTACCATTAAAGTTTCCACAAAAACTTACATATTGGCAACCTTGAAAATAGTGGCTGCAGCTTCATCTGTGTTGTGAAATAATTTACATCAAGTGTTTGCTGGTGAGTCAGTGACCAGGTCGATGAAAGATAAATAAGCACGTACCTGAGGCAGCTGGTTGTATATGGACTTGGGTCTGCGCTTGGTGAACTGCTTAGGCCTGGAGCTGGGGTGCCAGTCCCACTCACGGGGTGAGGACAGTAGGGTGGTACTCCGAACCCTGGAGAAGACAGTGTGGTTATTGATCTGACTGATTGTCCTTGAAGCACACTGAAACTCAAACCAAGTAACTCACTCCATAAACAGACCTGTACAGCAAGCACTGTAATCCATTCTGGAGTACTTCCATTATCTCCCAAAAGAACCCAAGCATCCATTAGTGATCATTCCCCAGCACCACAATTCCCCTCCAGTCTTCTGACCCGAGGCAATCACCAGTCTCATTTTGTTCCTATAGATTTACCTGTTTTCTGAATTTCATATTAATGTGAGTTACAATAGTGACTTTTTGCAACAGCTTTTACTTAGCATTCCATTTTCAGGATTCATACGTTTAGCATATTTCAGAACTCCATTCCTTTTTATGGTCAAATAATAGTCCACTTTATGGGCATACTACATTCTATTAATCTGTTCATCAGCTGACGGACATTTGAGTTGCTTGTATTCTTTGGCTACTATGAACACTCATTCACACATACCTATGTAGATATATATATTTTCACTTCTCTTAGAGACTGAGGAATTACTGTCCCAAATGTTTTCAGTTTTCAAAAAAATGGAGAAAACTGGTAAGCATCAACCCGCCTTAGGATGATTCTTGGGAACAAGAACTTACCAGAACTCACCTTTTGGGGTTAAAAAAAAAAAACAAAAAACAAAAACGAAAACCCTGAGGATGTAAGAAAATACTTCCCCTTTAACACAAGGTTTATAGCCCACATATGTAGCTCAGGCTGGCCTCAAACTGGTGATCCTCCTGTTTCTGCCTGTCAAATGCTAGGATTATAGGTGTATTCCTAGGCCCCATAAGAAAACTTTCTTTTACATTAAAGTAAAATACACATAAAAGTTATCATTTTAAAGCCAGACGTGGTGGCATACGCCTTTAAACCCACCACTGCGGAAGCAGAAACGGGCAGGTCTTTGTAAGTTCAAGGCCAGCCTGGTCTACAAAGTGAGTTCTAGGACAGCTGGGGCTACAGGAAGACCCTGTCTCAAAAAGACCAAAAAAAAAACAAATAAAAATAAAAATTTTTTGAAAGTTATTAAGTATACAATAGAGAAAACACTTCAAAAAGTTCTGTCATGGTTACTGTAATGCTGGCTTATATCTATCTATCTGTCGGTTACCCACCATCAAAAAGGATGGCGTGTTTTGTTCTTACCCTCAATGCAAGAACATTTAACTCTGCACACGCCCCCCCCACCACCACCACAAGGTGGGGTGCTGGTGTCTGAGGTGTGCTTCATACTGGAGGCAGCCCAGGGAATCCTCTGGTGGGAGAAGGAATGTGCTCTGGCCTCTTACTGGTTGCACTGGCTCTTCTGTTGCTGCACAGTGATACTGGTATCTACATTAAACATGTTCCTTCCTAACCAAGAAACGGAAGTAAGGGATGGTGTCGATTTAATTTGTACAGGGGAGAGGCCTATTTCCTCCCCAGGGATCAGCAGGACAAGTAGGCAGAGGCTAAACCGAGGCCATCCGGACTTCCTACAAAGCAAGCTGCGGAGTAGAGCCCAGCCCACACGTGATTTCTATTATTAATTCCAAAGATAAATAAATGGCTAGCAAGTCAAGATGTGCTTCGTTATGCTTTGGGTCTCAATATGGGATTTTTCTACAGGAATCGGCTCCAAAGACTGTGTATTTCTTTTACTGAAATGGCTTGTTTTTCAACAGGCTTTTTGTTATTTCTAGGACATCCTGGCTTTAACTTCCTTTCTTTCTGTTTAAACAGTCTCACGTAACCCCAGCTGACTTCAAATTCACTATGGAGCTTTTAGACTATCTGGTCCTCCTGCCTTGAGCTCCCTGGTGTTGGGATTACAGGCACGTGCCAGCGGCCGAGTCTACCCGGAATGTTTCCCTCCAAGAAATACGGCCAACAACCCCTGTCCTTACCACTGAGATGTTTAACGACTTCTGGGAAGGGAGGTATTGGGGTGCAAGATCACAGGACAGCAAGTACGTTGCAATAGAAACTGTTTCTGGAAGATGCTTCAGGTGTGGCCCACACACTGCCGCATCAACCCTACCCTCGGCATCACCTGCGGATTTTAAGAAACCCAGAATAGCCCAGGGAACACTGGTAGGAGCACATAGTAAAACTGTGTCTCCAAAAGTTGAGAGACACTGAGAAAGAGGAGGGAGGGGGGAAGGACAGAGACAGTCAGAGACAGAGAGAGGGAGGGAGCAGACTATGAGGCTCCACCACAAAGACACAATCTGAATCTACATTTTAACAGAGTGACTGACATGCATGTTAAAATTTAAGGAATGACAAATTATCGCCGGGCGTGGTAGTGCACGCCTGTAGTCCCAGCACTTGGGAGGCAGAGGCAGGTGGATCTCTGTGAGTTCAAGGCTAGCCTGGTCTACATAGCGAGTTCCAGGACAGCTGGGGCTTACAGGGAGACCCTGCTTCAAAAAGACCAAAAAGAAAAAAGAAATGACGCTGGGGCCCAGGTGGGCTGTCGCACTCGGGAGGTAGAGGCGGGTGGATCTCTGTGAGTTCAAGTCTAGTCTGGTCTACAGAGTGTTGGGGACCCCTGCTGTTTAGGGTAGCAGTCTCCCCAAGTCCAGATAGCCACAAGCTGGCTAGCCGGAATGGGGAGACTCCCCTTCTCAGCGGGGCGCCTTCTGCTCTCCTCCCTGACTTACTTTTGAAGTGCCCATCACAAGATACATGCCCTCCGGCACAGGAGCTACCAGGTTTTAATCAGGCGTTGTCTGATAGCCTGATAGAAGCCCACCGCCCTATGTAAATGAAGCATTCCAGGAGCACCTATCAGCTAAGGCTTCTTCTACTGTCTCCACACTATAAATAGTCCTAGTTTTACCCCAATAAAGCTGGAGCTGGAGCTGAATCACTGAGATCTGAGCTGAGTCACTTGTCTGAAGCTGTAACACTAAATCCTGTGATCCAGTCTGGGGGGGGCTATCCTTCCGTCATCGACTCACAAAGACCCTGCTTTCGCCGTTTCTCGCACCTCCCCTCATGACCTGGTGGCCAACAGGTCTCGAACTTAGAGGGAGAGTGCATGGTGGAAATTGAAACAGAACCTGACCGGGCAGCTGACAGCTGTTTCCTTCCCTGACAGAACATTCCTCCAGCTCTCTAGTTCTGCTGCTCAGTGCAGCCCTGCTCCTGAGGCTGCTTCAATAACTAGTTTACCTTTACCAGACACTGTTTTTGTTTGTTTGTTTTTCCTTTTTGGGGAAGTTTGAGAGGTATGACAGGGTCCTACTATACAGCCCTGGCTGACCTGGAACTCATTATGTAGATCAAGCTGGCCTCAAACGCTGAGATCTGCCTGCCTGTGCCTCCTGAGTGCTGGGAAAGGTGTGCACCACCGAAGCCTGGTCCACAGACATTTTTTTTTTTTTTCAACTATGTGTACTTGTGTGTGTGTGTGTGTGTGGGTATGTGCACATGAGTGCAGGTGCTCTTGCACATGAGTGCAGGTACTCTCAGATGCTAGAGATATCAGATCGGATCCCCTGGATCTGGAGTTACAGGCAATTGTAAGCTGCCTGATGTGGGTTTGGGGAACTGAACTCCAGTCCTCAGCAAAAGCAGTACCATACTCTAGTCCTACTTGCCACTCTTAACCCACAGAGACTCCCAAAGACACCCTTTGCCCCTTCATGTATAACACCCACTTCCCTTACGACAAACAGCAAACAATATAGTAATAGTAATGTCTCCAAATTCCACTGTAGACATTAAACTAAAGGTGCTTTTTCTAATAAAAAGTACCTTTTACACACAGAAAGAAAATCTACCTGAATCAAACGTCTGGACAATAGATCTGACATTTGGAGCTAAGCATGTTGTAGGGAGCTGTTCTGTGGGGCTATGTAGGATATGGTGGGGCTCTCAGGCCTTCACTTGATGTGAGCAGCAGCCCTAAACTGTTAACAACTAAAAATGCCCCCAAGACATTACCAGCTGTCCCTTGGGCATGGAAAGGAGCATCCCCTCCTCCTCCTTCCAGAACCACTGACTCATGATTCTAGTGATTCTCTTAGGGAATCGGAACTATAAATAATCCATTCATTTTTCCACATTTTCTAAATCTTATATAATGAGTGTATACAGTTTCTTTAATATAGTTAAACTAGTAATAGCAATTTTTTTTTTTTTTTTTTGGTCTTTTTGAGACAGGGTCTCCTGCAGCCCCAGTTAGCCTGGAACTCACTACGTAGACCAGGCCAGCCTTGAACTCACAGAAATCCATCTGCCTCTGCCACCCGAGTGCTGGGACTAAAGGCATGCGCCACCATGCCCAGTCAAACTAGTAATGTTTTAATTTGTAAAAAGAAATACCATGTCACAGATAACTCAAGTTAATTGGCAACAGCTGCTATGTAACTCACCCAATTTAAAAATTAAATTCAGGGGCTAGAGAGATGGCTCAGCAGTTAAGAGCACCGGTTGCCCTTGCAGAGGACCAGGGTTCGATTCCCAGCATTCACTGGCAGCTAACAACTGTCCGTCACTCCAGTTCCAGAGGAATTCAACGCCCTCTTCTGACTTCCATGAGCACTGCATGACACAGGTACACTTGCGTACATGCCAGCAATACACTCACACACATAAAGAAATAAATGAAATATTTTTAAATGAATACGTAAATAAATAGAATTTAGACCCTAAAAACACTGTCTCTCCAGCAGGCACTGAAACTCAACGTTCTCACTGTGTAAAGAAACAGGAGGACCTTAGAAAAAGTTTGAATGGAGGCCTGTAACCATGCAGAAAAGAACTAAACTTTTCTCCAGATGGTAAATCAGTGGGCTTCACAGAGAATGGGGACTGGAAAACTGCTGTTTGCAAGCAAAGGATTTCCCTAAAATACAGTCTGCCACACACTGTGTCTACCCCCACCTTCACTGCTGGGAATGGGACAAAGACCCTCACCAGCCTGCTAGTCAAATGCACACACTCAGCCACAGCCCACAACTCCTAACTGTAAGCCTTACTCAGAAAAACATTTGCACTGTACAAAAGAAATATACATGTATGTACATGTATAAAAGGCACATTTTCTTCATTCATAAGCATTGCTGCATTTGTAGGGCATGTTAAAAGTGTTTCAAAATCAGTGTTGCTGGAGATGGCTCAGCAGGTGAAAGCACTTGTCATACAGGCCTGGCAACCTGAGTTCAATCCCCAGAAGCTATGTAAAGGTGGAAGGAGAGAATGGCTTCCCCACGGTGGTCCTCTGACCTCCACATTTGTGCTGTGGTATGCATGCCCACATATACACAACAAAAAATAAAATCAGGGGAAAAAATCAGAAAATTAAAAGTCTAACTAGGAAAAAAAGGGTTCTTGACACACACGTTACTTCATCTCAGGTGTGATGTTCCATTTTTGCTATTTTTAAGTGAGTCTGGGAACACTATACTCACAAATATATAAATTATATACATCACATATATGATTAGGTGTATGTATGTATGTATGTATGTATATTCAAAGAAGAATTCAACACTGTTATTCCCATGAGAAAAAAGGACCTTTCCCTCTCTGGTCCCCCAAACAGCCAAAAAGTATTTCCATCCTTAGGACAGAGACAACCCCAGCTTCCTCTGCTTACCCAGGGTGCTGCCAAAGGTTCACGTGTCTCTGGCTCTCAGGTAGAAGCTCTCTTTTATTAAGAGGGGTGATCCCCACTGCTGCTTCCAGAATAGCCATGTATTTCTTATACCTCATCGTGTCTCTCTCAGTACAAGGTCCTGTGGCCATGTTTTAGTCACTGTTTGGCTGGAATAACTCAACTAACACTTGCTCTGCCAGAAGCTACTGCTCCTTTCAATGTGCTGTGTATCCCTAGCTAGACCTGTCCAACAGACGTTAAGGGGCAAACAGGGGAAGATGCCAAGCCAGGAAGAATGACAAGTCTTTCAGATCCCGCATTGTCGATATTAGGGAAAGCTAAAGAATTCTGCATAAAGCACTAAACAGAAGTGATCTGCAGGGATGAGTGTGGTTTTAAATACAACATCCAATGTACACTCCCTGATCAATCCTCACATAAATCTTTGAGGTCACTAATCCTTCACATACTAATGGTGTACAAGGTGATTGATCTCAGGGTCTGGTAGTAACTGGTCAAAGCCTGCTTACCTCTGGATACATTAAAACCAGAAACACATTTGCTCTTTCTACAAATACCTCTCTAGGAAGCCATGTTCTGACAAATGAGGAAGGAATTCCAGCTGTCATAACAATGCATCTCACTTATAAAACCCTTGCCTGGGCCAAGAGCAGAGCAAAGACTAACATGTTACAGTTTTTTAATTAAATGCTTTTTTTTTTTTCCCCCTCTTTTTGAGACAGGGTCTCTGCCAGGTCCAGCTGGCTGGATCTCTCTCAGTAGACTAGGCTAGCCTCAATCTCACAGAGTTCCTCCTGCCTCAGTCCCCACCCTCAAGCCAGGATTAAAGGCATGCACCACCACACCCACCCTTAATGTTTTCCTTTGTTTATTTGTTTTTTGAGATAGGGTCTCAATAATGTGGCCCTGGCTAGCCTGTAATGTAATATGTAAACAAGTCTGGCCTTGAACTCAAAAAGATCTGTCTGCCTCTACCTCCTGGGATTAAAGATGTGCACAATCACACATTTGAATGTTTATTATTTTTATGTTTTTAATTTTTTTTTTTTTTTGTCTTTTTGAGACAGGGTCTCCCTATAGCCCCAGCTGTCCTGGAACTCACAGAGATCCGCCTGCCTCTGCCTCCTGAGGGCTGTGATAAAAGGCATGAGCCACCATGCCCGGCAAGTTTTTAATTTTTTATCTTTAGCTGATATTAATTTTATAAAATAATGGGTTTCATTGAGGTGTTTTCATACTGCTTATTTTCCTATGATTTTTGTTTTATTTTGAGACAGAGTCTCACTATGTCGTCCAGAACCGCCTCAAATTCATATTCTCCTCTCTCGATCTCCTAAGTACTAGGATTGCAGGCCTGGGCCACCAGATCTGGCTGTATTTAATTTTATTATCTTTTTAAATTTCTTAAAACCCAACATAGGTAATCCTATTGGCATTAAAAATATCTGGACTACAGCTAGGCAGTGTAGCTCCTCTACCTTTTTGTGAGTCTTCCTTTGACTTCAAGGACCTTCCTCATGCCCTGTCCATCATCTAACATGGTGGTCCATCTTCTGCAGCACAGTGACCCATACAAGATCTTAGGAGAAAGCCTGAGAGCATCTGATCCTCATCTGACTTGGGCCTCTGTGAGAACTCCTGAAGATGAAAGCAACTTGGTTACTCCAATATAAAATCAAGAGACAACCTGAAGCCTAGACCAACCAGCTTTTCATGTCCAACAAGTAAACCACAGAGGCACATAGTTTACAAAAAGAAGGAGACCTAAACTCAAAAAAGGAAGGCTTGAGTGTCACACAAGAATCAGAAAACTACGAAAGAAATTAACATGTCAAAGGCACAGAGAAAAAAATAACAAGAAAAAACAAAATAATATATCCCCACCAAGTAGCAACAGTCCTCTAGAGGAGTACAATGAGACCACCCTAGAGATAACACAGGACATGGAATTCAAAAGAACAATTATAAACATGATAAAAGAATCCAGTGAATTTAAAGAACACACAAATAAAGAAATAAAAGAACTGAAGGAAGATGGGATAAACTTCTGAATGATATCAGAAGAGAGTTAGAAATATTG